GATTCTTGTCATTGCAGTAAAAATTCTGCTTAATTAATTATGTGAAGAGAAACAAGTATCGTGTCAATATTCAATTCTCTTGACTAACCTACGAAATAAATTTTCTTTAAAACTGTTTCTATACTCAACACGTGTACAGAGCTAATTTTTCTGGATTAATGCTGTAACATTTGTGATCAGGAAGTGACGCTGTTAATGTTGTACCTTGGCTATTCAACCATACATACCAAAGGGTCTACCGCAGAGGCAAATCGACACTGTGTGAACATTTCGAAAAGTAGAATGCTTGGAGTGGAACATTTTTTGTAAGGTGCACCCCAATAAACTTTAGAAAATTTGTATGTAGCCAGTTTCTCATTTAATTTTCGTTCTTCAGCTCTCGCATTTTTTAAATTTTGCAAATTTGCATATGTAGGTATCCACAATGAATAAGAAAAATTTTGATGTGCAACTAATTTCCAGCTTTGCATAGTTCTCGAGTAAGTGTGTATTTGAGATCAGAAACCAATGGAATTATCATTAGCATACACAGCCGTCTTTCCTTCCAACTGTAGTATACAACTCATAGGTCACGACGTATAGGCGACACGCACAGCTACTACAAGTGAACAGGGTATGATACAATCGATATAAGTGCTTTTCAGAATGGATCTAACGACTGAAACTGTTCTGACACATATCACAGAGCTTTCACAGCTTTCCCCTCTTCATCAATTTTTAAAGTTACTCGTATTATCATTTTCTATATAAGCCTTATTTTAAGCCGAGCAAAGCAAACACAAAACATTGAACTCCATAAAATATTATTTGATGCAACGCTTGATCAAGAGCGGAGCTTACTTTGGTTATTATGGGAAAAAGGGCGACCACCACTCCTGTAATACTCAAAGTAATCATGTGCATTCAGCAGAAAATAAAGTATCGCTACAGTCGTTCTCCGTTTTGATGAACGTGACCAATGTCACTTTTGAAGTTCTGTAATACGGCTGATCACCGAATAGATTGCTTCAATCCGTTCGCGATTCTTTATAATTCTCATTCCTTTCGATTACAATTTCCGCCCAAACATAGCATCCATGGTAATGAGTGCTGTGAAGGAACAACACTGCAGTTAGTAGGAGTCGACTATCGATTCCGTTGATCTTGATACCTGAGTATGAACTTGGCGGTTTTGATACCATTATTTGAGGTTGATTTTTAACCAATTGTTTAAAAGGTACGCTTCTGTTGGGATTCGGATGTTGTTTTTGATTTCACGCCCCAGATCGGTGCAAAATCCAGATAGATGCATCTCATGGCTGGAGCTGGTTAATTGAATAATCAATTACCAGAAGAAGGCTTTTAGAGGGGTGCAGTGTTGATGCGACGAGGTGGGCAAAAAGGGTCAAAGTTGCCAGGCATCGTCTCCCCACTACTATTTCCACTTCTCTCTTCTGCTTCTGATGTTAAGGACTCCAAGCCGAGAGCAATCTAACATCTGTAGTGCCTGCGGGCTGCGGCTACGTGTTGTTGTTGGACGATCACGGAGATTGTAACAGGTTGAAACATTTTGTGCCATTAGGTTTCGGGGGTAACACTTAGTCCAATGTCGGAAGGGTAATTTACAATGGCCCTTTCCATTGTTTACGCTAGTAACTGTTTGCTGCCTGAACTGCATTCCAGTTTGCTTTCCTCTACATCACTAAATCTTTTTTCAAATATTCTTCAACTTTGTTTAACCCTATATTTAGTCTCTCGGTTTTATCTTCTGCGATATAGTTTACAGTAAAATGGCAACTTGACATGGATCCTAAAACTACTCATACTCCAGGCCACAATGAAGATGTTTCCCATTATTTAGGATGCACTCAAAATGTTGTATGAATAAACGGTGTTCTGCTCTGCATTTAGGATTTACGGTAAAAATGGATAAAAAACGGGTCCGATCTTCGACTTACAAAGACTGTACCTAGACGAACAAATACATATCACGTCTAGGTAAACACTTTCTCTCTGGGCCAATATAGAAGAAATATAATTGCCTATTACGGAAATATCATCGTTGTACTGCTCGCGAATCGCGAATCTCATGTTGACGTAAGGTATTTATGAATAGTCATAATAATTATTATTAGTGTGTATGTCTATTATAATGGAGAAACGACATAATTGATATAACAAAGAATGGGGATATATTTGATTATTGTTTCAATTTCGAGATACTTTGGAAATTATTATAGTGATCGTGTTGTGGCTGAATGGTTGATTTTTCTTGAACCCCCTTGTCTTTGCCGACATAGATATATTTAGGAGTGATTCAGGAACCGAAAATCCTAGTCAAATGTCCAAAAACAATACATAGTATAATAGTGTCACGTTTTAAAATAACCAGCTGTATTGAGGTGTGGTGAAATGGATTGTAGATTCGAAAGTATTTATAATTATTATGATGTAACTAAATAATAGGTAAGTTTCTCCGTAATTATTGATTTCACAAAGGTCATTAGAGTCAGCTTTATTTCGAGTTGTAGTATCTTTATCAGACCCTGCTAAGAAATATGTTAATTTTGGCTGCAGCCGACGGCAACTTTAGCAATTATACATTTTACTTAAATTATACCTTAAAAACATATGAAGCGACAGCAACGTTTCCAGATGGTCGGTAATGTCGGTAGGGTAGGCGATACACTTCTAGATCGCAACGCTGTCAAACATGTGGGAGCTATGGACTTATTCTATGAGTCTGTTTTCCTGTCTTGATCCATTTATTCTTTTAGTATACATCCTCCTAGCTAACTTCTTTCGGAGAGGAGCTAACTTGTGCCGTACATAATCCTTTATGATAGCACGACAGGGTTGAGAGGGAAGTGCAGTCATCCTTCTTGACGTCATGAATACTTGTATCTTTTTAATTTATGAAGTTTAATACGCAATATATCAAACTTGGTTGTATTTTGCTTCTATGGTAAATTTGTGATACCAGAAATGATGAATTAGGTGAAGCCGGCCCTCAACTTGTAAGACTAATAATGTAGATTGTGTAATTTGCTTTAGCGCAGTATATGTGGGCACTGTTGGCATAATAATTTTACCTGCTTCTATTCGGACAAAAGCATCTGAACATTTCTTTGAGCTCCGATATTCTTATCTGCGAATAAGTTAATATTGTTGCGATAATTTTGCAGAGCTGATTATTGTAGGGGTCAAGTAAAAATCGACGTTCGTCATGCATCAGTTTAGTACCGAAATATCTACAGGCTGATACAAAAACAATCACACTATCCCCAGGGCAGAAACTAAGTGCAAAAAATAGCATGAAAAGTTCAAATGGTCATGGCCTTTACCGCGATACGGGGGCTTAAAGTCATGAACAAATTATATTTCCTGATTGGATATTGTGTAGCCATCCTATGACACAAAAGCTTAGAGGTGAAACCTTACGGGCCGCTGTTCCAATCTCCAAATAATATTTGCCTTCCTGGAAAGACTCTGAAATCTTACTTGTGATGTGATTACACATTATATGTGTATGGTTTCACACACTTCAACTACCAAATCCAAACTTTTAGAGTGAACGTGTAGACTGACATTCACTCTGTACTTGAATCCTTTGAGGACTGCCACAAACATGTACTCGTTGCGTTACAAAGCCCTTTTATTAAATGCACACCCCTTGTGGGCGGAAGAGCAATTATATGGAGAAACTAATAGAAAGACAACATATATGCGCATATGTATGTGCCACCTACAAAAAGGAAATTTGTAATTTCCGCGGGAGTACATACATGTTAATTTTACCTCGGGGGTTTAAGTTATTCATCATAAAAAACATGTTTTTTCACAAACGTTGGTGTATATGTCTGTCTGTTTTGTCTATCAGACGGTTTATTATGAATGTTATAGCATTGAAGATACACAAATGTTCTTAAAACTTTATTTGGGCAACTCCGCCGAGTCCCGTTACTTGATTACAAACTTAGTTACAAACAGTAAAATGACATGACGGAGTCAAAACCGGGTTATAAACATTGACTATGCGTACATTACGATGTGGCGCCGGGTTATGAACAATAGAACAGATTTTTTGGACCGTTTTTATACTTTTGGTTATGCTTACAAAGCATCCAGGCTCAGGCACACGTGGCTTTCTGCTGAAGATGAATTGTAGGCATGCAATGAACAATCCGTAAACAGTAAATTGTTATCAGTGCTGAGTAAGTATGATTGCTATCACAATTACTTTACGGAGCTTACAATTTTTGTTAAGCTCGTTTTATAACTGCCTAAGACTACTGGAATCGGGAAAAACCTCCTTAGACAAAATTGTTCCACAATCGCGACAACCTAGGAACAAGGAAAGGAAGGTACCGACCAGTTCCGGATATACGGAGTTCGACAGTTATGGAGAGGAAGCGGAAGCCTGGCGAGTTAGCCCAATAGCCGCAACGCGCGACGGCATCATGGAGGAGAGTTCTTAGGAGCAAAATCCGTTGACATCGCGGTAGAAGAGATCTAGATCGCTGACAGCTCGTCGGCCCGGAAGGAACCCGGAATTGTCTATTAGAGAGCTCTCCATCGAGTACAGACAGTGTGGACGAGTCGGGAGCACACCAATCATTCGTTCAAAAATATTGAGATAGCAGTCTGTCTATTATGTGATACGCCTGTGTTTTATTATAACTTATCGGGCATTCTTCAATACTGTTTTATTTTATTGTTGTAACCAGCACTCGAGAGCAATTCCATAGGGACACCTACTTACTAGTTTATTTCTTGTATCAACAGCTGAATGTTTACACTTTATACTTAGTCTATCCAAAACGGGCGCTTTATAAAAAATTAAAATGTAACCAGACTGACTTTTATTTGTTTTATGTCATAAGTATTTTGACTGGACTAGAACTAACTGCACTCCGTAAAATTGAACTTTTGTGACGATAAAGATCAGAAAGTAGATTCGCGAATTACGTATTAGCCTATCCGAGAATGTACTCTAGATATTACACACAAAATAAACTTACCAACTTTGTGACATCCAGGTGCATGCCATCCCGCTTGCGAGTTGTCGGAGTCAACTGAAAATGCACTCGAGAACGATACAGCAACAAACAAAAACCAAAAAGCCAGCATCCTGGAAGAAAAGAAAAGCCATTAACTTGCGAGCTTTATCCTTATATTGCTTTTCTATTAGATAAGACAAACAGTACTTGAAGACAAAAAGCAGATATATCACATGGTGCAGTTATGAGACAAACTAATTAATTTTTCAAAGAATCTATAGTGAAAAGGCAAAAACGATGACCCCGTTGAAGAAAGATGGCGTCAAGTGGGTTAACTCTGCACTTCATACGCAACGCGGTCATAACTTCATAAAGGGTTAGGTTCAGCGTAATTTCAGTCCTTTGAGAAAAAAGTATGTTAGGAATATGTATAAAGGAAGTTAAACGGACCAAGTCCCTGCCCTACCGGTAGTTACTGGGGCCGTTGTCCCTTTCTACAGCTGCGCGGCAGCGCCCACCGCGGCACCGCTGCAGCGAGTTATCGTTCATTTCATGTGCGCTACAGTACGGATAGATTACAGCCAGACCGGTACGTCGAGCAGTGAGCTTAGATAGTACGAATACCCTGATCGAGAACATTTTTCTATCATTCTAAGCTTTGAAGCCAACTGAACGGGGAAATATACGGTGACTAATAGGTTCATGGAATTACCAGGCTTGAGAGGGTAGGAAGAAACTAGATTTCATATACTGTCCCCCCAAATCCCAACCCCCAAACCCAACCTATACATTTTCCTGAAAATTATCAGGAACCTCTGTAACGTCAAAAAAAAACGAAGTTTGAGGAATTTTTATTCTTTCCACGTTCTTGCCCCTAGCACCACTGACACCGCCGACACCGGAAACTACAAAGCGACTTCGTCTTTGGCATTGCGTGAAAATTTCATCAAAATCCGACCGGTGTGATTACTAAGTTATAGGCGGTCCAAGGATTAGCGAACAGACAGATCAAAATACATACAGACTAGTGGAAATGAGTGACGTGATTTTCCGTGATGTACATGTCGTATAACATCCAAAAACCAAAAATTATCATTTTCGAAATTTTTCGCGATTACAATACGTACTTCCTCGTAGGAAGTACGTTTACTCATACATTAGATTTTTTTATAATCAGGCTCACGCTAAAAGTGGATCGACTTTGCTTAAAGGAAAATAATCAGTCACCAATTCTCATCAAGAGACTTGAAATTTTCGAAGAAAGGGTATCTTCAATTTGATTTTCAAAGTAGACTTTTAAAGCATCTCCGGAAAGGTTCCACATACAAGTCGTTTTAATTTAGTTTCTATAGCAATTGAAAAAATACCTAAGTAACCACTGATGACCATTATAGAATGGAAGCTGCCTCCTAAGGTTGAAACAACCTGTACTATATATTGTTTTTAAACAATACGTCATTATCTATAGAGCTGAGACTGTTGCATCGTGTACAAACAAAAAAATATTAGAGACTCGTTCCTTCACTAACGTTGAATGACTACGGTGTTAAGCTGGACGCTTAATCGTTGTATTTAACAAATATGATGTTACTCTTTGTAAATATTAGATCTTTATACTTATACTGGGTGTCCCAGAAATAAAACGCCAGAGTGACACTGGAGATAGGTTGGCTTCAGATCAATCAGATAAAATCAACATGGCCTTAGTAGAGGTTTTCAGTTTTCGAGATATTTCCACTTTTAAGGTTTTTCAAAAAAGCTTTGCTCCTTTCATGCCTGTTATGGCTATAAAGAACTTCTAACTATTTTTTTTTTGGGGCTTCCATTAATACTTGGTTGAGACAGCAACAAGAGTATTTATTTAATTGAAAACTAGCACGATATGCTAAAAAACAAATTATTGCATTTGGTTTCAATACGAAAACCTGTATTAAAGTCTTACTAGTTACTGTAAAAAATGTATTAGACTGAATCAGCAAATGATTAAAAAAATTAACTATTGAATGATCTTTCCAAAATAGTATAACATTAGTATGTTCTTTTTACTAAAAACTGAATAATTCCAGGTTTTGTCATTGAAGTCGTAATACTTGCGAAATGCTACAAATAAAAAATAATAAATGCAGCCGTCTTTTAAATCCAAATTACAACTTTGTAGTTGCTGTAATCGTGGTACGCAGGTACCACCTGAATGTTGTAGAAATCAATGGATATAAAAAAAATACAACAAATAAGGTTCTATTCATTATTTTCGGGCCTGCATACAAAAATTAATAAAAAAGAATAATGAATAGCTGTTTTAGACATTTGCTAAAATAAAAAGTGATTACAGTAACTACGAAGTTGTAATTTGGACACAAATATGTTTTATTTTTAGTATTTCGCAAGTACTACGACTTTAATGTCAAAACTTGGAATTATTCAGATTTGAGTAAAAAGAACCAATTCTTGAAATAGCATTGAATAGCTAATTTTTAAGGTAATTTGCTGATTAAGTCTGATACATCTTTTTTATGGTAATTGG